TGAGAGTCACAGCATTGCAGAAAGAAAAATGCAGCATCTAAACAGCCCGAGGAAAAAAAAAATAAGCGATTTCTTTGCAAATTTTGAAACGTGTCTCAGTCTGTTTGTTGACACATGCTTTTGCTGCCTCCAGGAGAATGCTTTGTAGTTTCTGCAGACTCATGAGGCTACCAGTCAAGTGGGCAGCCTTCTCAACCCTCACTTTAAAGGGTAGGATGGTCCAGAAGAAGTTGTGTACAACTGTAATCCCAGTATTCTGGAGGCTGAGACAGAAGAATAATGAGTTCAAAACCAGTGTGGACTACAGAGGAGATGCTGTTTCAAATCCTTACCCCTCAACAAATGTTAAAAAGAAAAAAAAAAAAACTATGCAAGCTGGAATATTAATACACTGCACACATGCTCATTGAGTCTTACTTCTAGCTAAGGATGCAAACAGTTGGAATAGTGAAATCCTAGTAAGTCTCTTAACAAAGATGCTCTAACATGTATGAATGCACAGGAACCCGTTATGTATGAAGCATGTGAAGCTGGATCACACTGAAAGAACAAGCAAGGAAAAACATGTCTGCTTTGTTTCTCTGTGCCTCTGTATCTGTTTGTCAAGAATGTGTGTATAAATCTTTTCCAGTTATTAAACAGGGAACGAGGAATATCTTTATAGACTAAAAGAACATCAAGTGGCTTTAAAACAAAAATCATAATTTGTTGTTTACAGGGTATATGGGGATATTATAACCTGTATTTATTCATGTCTGTGTGTATGCGCATGTGTGTGTGTGTGTGTGTGTGTGTGTGTGTGTGTGTTCATGCACACATGTATGTGTTAGGTCCACAAGAAGCCCCACTTCTCCAAATTCCAGTGGTTAGACAAAAGACAACATTCCTTAGGAACTAGTGAAGCTGTTTTCCTCTACCAAAGGAGCTATTGCCCTTACTACTAGCATAAGGGACAAATGGCTCTCTGTGGTACCTACTAGCATACCAAAGCATAGCCGGCCTTTGGGTTCCCTCAGGGTCACAAGTACTTGTCACACATTTTAGAGTCCATGTTAGCATTCTGGCTGCTGTTTTGGCGATCTGCTCTCTTGGGCCTCTCTCTGTCTTCATCTCTGCATCTCCCTGCCTTACCCGTCTCTCTTTACTCTACCCTCATCTCTATGGCCAGGTCCAGTCTGCTGGCCATGTTCAGTCTACTACTTTCTCTCTCTGTCCTGGACACTCCCAGATACCTGGGCCTGTTTTCTCCCTCATATCTACAATAAAAATCTTCTACTTAGCCATATCTTGGAGTTGTCATACTGTCATTGTATGTATACATCATGGATGTATAGATATGTGTGCAAGGAGGCTAACAGGTGACTTTGGATCTCCTCAACAACCACTTTTTACCTTAGTTTTTGCTCCAGCTTCTTTCCCTGAATGTGGCTTCACGGGTTCATGTAAGCTGGCCGAATAGTGAGCCCCAGGATTTTGTGTTCCATCTCTGCTTCCACAGCACTGGTATTGCAGATATGTAATTTAGTCCCTCAGCTTACACAGCAATCTCTTTACTGACTATTTTATTTCCTCAGACCCTGGCTCCAGGGCATTACCATGTATTGATTGCTTTTCTTGTACCTGTAATCCTGTTGGGCCTCCCACACGGTGGGATTATAGGTATACACCACCACAATTGGTAACCAAATCAAAAATTTAAAAAAAATCATGTAAATATAACTTTTAAATATATTCCTTCAGTGATAGGAAATTTCAAAGTGCCAGTAATGTGTGTATAAATTACATTTTTAATGGCCAGTAAAATGCTGTGGAGTAATTTGGTTAAGGATTTGTCTGCCAGTTGTATGATTGCTACCATCAGCCTGTAGTTTGGGGGCAAAGAAATCTCCCCTTTATCCCTTTTCCTTAAAGTTAGCAACAACAAAAGAAAACAAATCAGATAAATTGCAATGTTGACAAAGGAAGATGAAGAGGAGGAGGAGGAGGAGGAGGAGGAGCAGGAGGAGGAGCAGGAGGAGGAGGTTCAGTAGGGAAAATTTCCAAGCTAGTATGAACTGCTTTATAGAGAAGATGCACATTCCTGTTTCAAAAGTTCCTTCTGGTGATTTTGCATCTGGCGCTTCACCCTTCCCCGGTGTGACCATGTTTTCTATTTCCGCCTGCTCTACTCCTCTTATACCTTCTGTTTCCACACTCTCAAGAGGAAAATACTTAGCTCCTCACACTTTCTTATTAATAGATCATTCACATCTTTCTGACTTCTACTTGAAATCAGCTGCAGACCTCCCTATATATCTAAAAACATGGTAGAAGGTTTGGAATTTATAGAATAGGGAATTATACAGTTATCCCTCTTCATCCACACATTTTACAAATGAAGATCGAGCCAACCATAAACCAAAAATATTTTTAAGTGCATCTGTGTAGAGCATGACTGATATATTTCTCTCAGTTTTATTCCTGAAACAATGAAGTACAACAACTGTCCATGCAGGTTTTCCCTTGCGTGATATTTGATCTAGATATTTCTTAAATGAATGTAAAGTTTACAGGTGAATACTACTATGTTTTCTAGTATAGACTTCTTGAATATTTGTGAATATTGTTATCCACTGGAGATCTAGAACAGACCTCCACACAGATACTGAATAGTGACTGCATGGCTTCAACTCTTCATCTGGTGGACAAAGGAGATGAGGAGTTGATTAGATTTTCTTCTATTTGCACTGCAATGAAAGAATTATTTTGATACAGCAGTACCATAAAATAATCTGGGTCAGTTTACACTCCTAATTTTATGATTAGTAGATTATGGAGTTATTGCTCCCAAGAGACAGCACCCGGACCAGCCTGCCTAGGCCACAGTTTTCTGGGCAGTTTCTGAAATGTCAGATTCTTCTTGTCCCAATGTCAGGAGATTTGCGTCTAGCAAATTCAGGGTAGCACTGACAGTATGTGCTTGTGGGGATGAGTGAGATTTGGAACTGCAGCTGTAAGCCTGCTGAACTTCATGATGGTTCATCAAGCTCAGTAAAATAATGTCAAGGGAACAGTGGGTGACCATCTAGCCCTCAATCTTAGATGCAGTTGTTTTATTCTCCTGTTTTCTCTCACTGACTTTCCTGCTCTTTGTTTCCTCAGTAAATGCCATGGCTTTTCCAGGACTACTCAGATCTCCATCTCATGTCCTGAGAAAAAGCCTCAATTCAGAGGCATTCAACAAATGAAGGGGACACAGAGACATGGAGAGGAGATGGGTCCCGTATTTCCATGATTTGAGACTTAGATCACTCTGTTAAGGGACCACTGTAGCCTTGGCGCCTTGCAGGTAGTCTTGGTGAAAACTGGCTGTTTTCTACTTTCCTAAACCTGTGATATCCTCAAAAGGAGGCTTTAGGAAAATACCACTTTCAGATCATACAATAAGACCCAATTTTAGACTGAGTGTGACTTAGGTGCAAGTTATTTCTAGAGACAATCAATTGCAAATATGAGTGCTGTGATCAAGCGACATAAAAGGTGTACAATTCTTATTTCCAAGACATCATTTTTTTCCCAGTGACTTTAATTGATTACTAATTTGATGTAGTATTTTAGTCTCTCTTTTGGATTCTACTATCTCTCCATGAAAGTATTGGCAGTATTGAGTATGGGTAGATTTTGAAGTTGGGAGAAAAGACAGTTTTGGAGAATGGACATTGAAGAAAGGAAAATTAACGAAAATTCATGTATGAAGTAGAGGAGCAGAATTTACCATCGTGACAGGCTTTGAGGTCCAGAAAGCCAGCCAATAGGATCTGAAAGAACAGAGTGCTATAAATGACTTAAAGCAGAGGAAAAATATCTAATGATGAAATGAAAATTGAATAAATGGTTAACTAATTTTATTGTAATATAACTACCCCAATATTAACCATTTCAATTCAACACACTAAATTTAGAAGATGTATATATCAGTGTTAAGAAAGTAAATATTTATTGCATTTAAAGATTATTTATTACACATTATTAGGATCCATGAACAAGTCTGAAGTATATGATTTTGTTTCTGAGGAGTAAACTTTGGCTAGGTTTCTTTTCCTCATATATCAAGCACTGGGCATTCAGAATTGTTTTTCCCAGAAGAAAGATAAACCATTGAGTGTTTAGTCTGACACTTGGGAGGTTTCTAGAATCTGTTCTATGTTCCTTGTGAATGTCATCTTCAAAAGTCCCAGTTTCCTCATGCCCAAAATCAGACAGTTAGACTATAGCCGATGTCCAAGTTATTTTTCATGTTTAAACTTTATGCTGCTATTGCACTTTAAATGATAAACATTAACCTATATACCACAAAGTTATCAGTTCTAGCTATGCCTAAACATGGGTACAATTATACCCACTGACATTCATTTTCAGAGACCTACATCTTGTTAATAGAAAGTTAAAAGTGAAAATTGAGTTCAAAGGGAAAATAAATTAATGATTCTTTTTAAAGGTATCCAGAGTCACTTAAATAAACATTCTCATTTAATACTCACAAAATTACCTCTAAATACAGCACTTTTAAAGCAAGAATTTATATGAAGTGGAGAGGAACCTTGCATTAGACTGCTAATACAGTGGTCCTCTGGAAACAAAACTAGATAAAATAATTACATTTTGCACATTTTCCTTAAAAGATCATAGCATTACCAAAATGTTATATCGTTACAAAAAATTAGAATAAAATGTGACTCAAGAAGAAGGACACAGAGATAATGGTTATATATTATTTCTATTATGATTTACATGTACCCATGCAACTAGTTAAACCATTTTTGCCCTTTCCAAAACAAAAACAAAAACAAAAACAACAAACAAACAAAAACTCAAAACCAAGTATAAAAACCTCACTTTGTAAGGACTGGACTAACATAAGAAAAGAGTTGTGTCTCCTTAAGTTTAAAGGAAGGAAATCACCATGGTAGTCTCTTTAAAATCTAATACTGCCCATTGATGGTTTTCCTTTTTCTCTGCAGGGCTGGAGCGAATTGCACGGGATTCATCTTACGAACAAGAGGGAAAGGTTCAGTTTGTAATCGACGCAGTGTATTCCATGGCCTATGCCCTGCACAACATGCACAAAGAACTCTGCCCAGGATACATAGGCCTTTGCCCGAGGATGGGCACCATTGATGGGAAAGAGCTACTGGGTTACATCAGGGCTGTGAATTTTAATGGTAAGTCACAACTTTATTTCACAACATTAAGTGACAGAGAGTTTCACACCCCCTATCTATAGAAGATGTTGGGATGAAGTAGAAGATGAGAGGCAATACATTTTGCTCAGAAGTGTGAATTTTTCCACCTGCTTTTCAATCTCAAACATATTTTTGTACTGTCCCTAATCTGTTCTTGAAAGAAACAGAAGTTAAAAATAACTCTCTATCAATCAAAATATTCTATTTAAATATTGCTGTTTCAGAAATCACATAGAAGGCTCATTCAGGACCACTGGCAATAGATCAGGTTTATTTAAAAATACTTTGCTCATGCCATTATTAGTGAAGACCTTATAGAAATTTGTCTTTTGTCTGATATTAAGCTTCTTAAAAACTAAGCTGATGAGGAAAAAATGGGTGGAGTCACTTTAATAATCTAAGACTGTTGCATTTTTATTTTTATGTTTATTATTCCTTGTATTTTTTTCAATGATTTAGACACGTGGTAGCAAGAAACTGATTGATGTAGTGTAGATTATTTTTTCTGTAGAAGCAGAAATATTGCTTTTGTGACTGTCATAAGAACCCAACACAAGATACATTGGATTCACAGTATTTGGTTGTGAATTGCTGAACTGTCTGTTTGAAATGATAATTAGTGAATGCTCCTCTCCTTTTATGAAAGTGGTAATGATTTCTGCCCATGACTTTGACCATCATTTTCAAGTAAAATGCTAGAATGATCTGAGCTGTCTAATTCTTCAGCTTGACTGTAATCCACACAATGGACATGCCTTCAAGCCAACCACAGTGCCGCACTGTCTATCACAATACACTCTGGTGACCTCAGCTGCCAGCCTTTCTCAAAACAGCACAAGGTCATCTTCAATTGGGAATTCAAGCAGAAACGCCATCTCTTGCTTTGTACAGGCAACGTAAGGAATAATTTGGTTTGCATTCAATACAGGACATTCTCTTCCATAGCAAAATTTGCTGGAATCATTATATAGCATTAATTCTTTTGTTAATATAAACACTAAGGGGAGTTTGAAAATAATTTTCATGCAGCTATAAAACTGAACAAAAGAGGATTGTTACAATGTAAAGTTATTTACTCTAATGTGAGGTTAGGGAACATTTCTTTTCTCCAACAGTGTTAGGAAGTGGAAAGAAGAATGCAAATGAGAAGATTTTTCTCAATAACTGAAGCTCACCTCTGAAAAGGAAATATTTTAAAGAAACACTCAATGAATGTAATTTAAAGGTGAATTACTAATTTTACTTTTATCTTCACCATGCATTAAGAGCTAACCCTTCCTGATGGCTTCAATTATTATACTAACCTCCAATGTAATGATGCAATTATGGACTATTAGAGAGTGTCTTAATGTCTAATGGCTGTTAAGACAATTTGCCTCTGGACTCCAATGATCCCTGAGTTCTTTGGTTCACTTTTTATAGGTTAACTCACTTCTATATAGTCCGTCACTCTTTCTGTGCTTGCCTTTCATACTGATTTTTTCCATAATCTTCTAGCATTTAATTTGCTATAGACAGAGAAATAAGTTAGTTAAGGGATGCTTATTGAGCACAGACTACGTTCTGCCTTATAATAGTTGCTTAAGGTACTTTACAAGTAACATAGACAAAACATAGAGGAATTTGGGTTTCTTAGAAGGATATTAGCCTGATAAAAACAAGAAACTAATGACAAAAATACAGTGGGTGCTGAAAGAAAAGAGAATGTTATTATAAAGTTTATAAAGGAGCGATTTAGTCCAGAGAAGGGAGTTTGAGATAAGGATCAAGCAGAGACATCTCCATATAGACCAGGTGTTGTTTTGTAGGCACTTCTAACTAAGGATTGTTCATTTGCACTGTGTGGGGAACATACTGAACCAGTGCAGGATTATGCTATATACAACAGTCCACAAACTCCCAACTTGGGTCTCAAGAAATATATGACTTTTAGTGTATGGACTTGAAGGGAAATTTCTTCATGGTCCTTGAAGTTATGTTTTATGAGGTTTTGGACTTGTTTGTTGATGATAAAGTATGAGAGACTGGAACATGAACTTAAATAAAACTTAAATAATTATTTTCATTTTCTGCCCATTTTTAAAAATCTCAGTGTTGAACTACCTACTGATCTTCATTCATTATTCATACCTTGGCTGCTCATACTTTTTAGAAAGGCATGCAAGTCTATTCAAATATAAGTACAACATCAGAATATTTATAGGGAAGAAAACACCGATTTAGGAACTAAAATTAAGGACTTACTATGTGTCTTCAATACAATAAAAACCTAAAAGAGACCTGCAATAAAATCTTTGTGTTGGGGAGAATTCTAAATAATCTTGAGAGACTACTCTTTGAAATTGTTTCTAAAAAAGAGGCATGTCATGGGCCTCTGGCAACCAAACAAGCAATTTTATTTAACAGATTTTGTAGCCACAAATGAAGCCACCCCTTTGACTGTTTTGTATAAATATAATCAAAAATAAGAAATACAATTGGGAGTATCATGGGAGAGGTTTCCAAGGAGGGTAGAACTAATACTCCTCTTGCCATCAACTCAACTGATAAAGGGTGTGCGCTGTGATGAATGAATGGAGAAAGTTTGTACAATTCTGTCCACTATATCATCAAACTCACAAGTATAATGTTTCAGTCACTCAGTGTAAGAATTTCTGGATTAAAGAGATTGGCATAATCAAGGCCTCCTTTAAATAACTGGCTTGCCTTAGTAGCTTCTTAAAGGGCCACAGTGGCTATACAGTGCTCATTTACAAGCTGCACACTTAAGACTAAGTACTTTTTTGCAGGGCTTTCATCAGTTGTATATAGATGTTTGGAATTTGGATTCTCTTGTAGGATCCCAGAAATCTGCTGTTTTGTGCCATTAATCGGAATCTCTTTGAGTGGATTGTATTGGCAATGGCCAATGTTCTCACCTTATTGGATAGGTGCCATGGGCCATACAAAATATTCTACAGGACCATATTTTACTTTCTTAAGATCCCAGGTGTGCTCATTTAGAACCAGGGCAGCAAATACATTTTGGGAATATTTTAGCAATGTTCTTAAAGATTGTTTTCAAAATGCAAGCTTTATATAGAGACTGATAATTTTGCACAATTTTACTGTCAGAATCAGTGCAATACAAAATGTTCTTCCAGGTAATTAAGAAGCAGAATTGACCATTGGATACAAGTATTTAATAATGATCATTTAAATACCAAATTGTGGCTGTGTCAAAGAGAAATTACTTGTTTGAAATAACTTTACTAAGCTGTTTCTCTTTTACATCAATACCAGGAAATAGTTTTATTTCCAAGAGTCTATTGGACTCTTAAATTTGAATTAGTGAAAGCATGCAGTTGGTTTGGAGAAAGAATCTACTCTGTAAAGAGGAGGCAATAAAGTAGCCAAAGCATCCTGGTGCTATATAGACTGTGGTTTTAATAGACTCATGCCGTATAGACAGTTGGTATAACAGGATTGTACTTAAAGTTGTTCTTGCTGAGACTGTAACAAGGCATAGCCACTTAGGCAACAGTTTGGAGATACATACTTAGTTTAAAAGATCATATACCTTATGGTGTGTTTTAAAATTGAGAATTCTAGAATTTAGGATGACAAACCATTATATTTTAGACCCACATTATTCTATGACAAATAACTGTTAAAAGATGAAGTAGGTAGTCAAAGTACTAAACTAAAAATTACCATTTGACAACAAAAGTATAAGCCACCATTGTAGTTTTATTGATTTAAATAGGATTGATTTCTCCCATTGCTGGAACATTCATTCATCCCTGATTCTGTACTGTAGGCATGTTTCGAATCCTGGCATCTGTAGAACTGCTCATGTTTTCCATTCATGTTTTGTCGCCTCTCTTCTATACCCGTCAAAGATTTGCCTTTTAGGTTACTTTTATTGCAACTATTTGAACAAAATGTTCTTTTTTATAAATTTTTAAAACTCTAAGATCTATCACAAGAAGAACATAAAGAGAGAAGAGTTCATTTTTTGAAATTTAAGCAACCATGTCAATTCCTTACTCCAAAATGATAAAATATTAATACTCTACATCTTGTATAGAATCAAAGATTTTCTAGGACAAAAGAATAATACTTAGCATAAAAAGTGTTGGGTAGAATTTCATAGACACCTTGCCATTCCTTTTACTATCTCTTGAGCTCAGTTTAGGGGAAAGTTGAGCATAATAGCATGTATTAATTAGGATTATTTGTTTGTTTGGTAACAAAAGTGACGTAAACTTGCATAACTAAGGTAACACAAAGAACTTATGGAAACATGTCAAGAAAATGCAAAGGAGAATGTGAAATATTAAAGTTGGTAGATGGTTCTAACAAAATACAAGCCAGCCCTCTGTCTCTTTCTCTGTGTCTTCTTATTGGACTCACTTTTCTTACATTTAATCTGCAGAGCAACACAAATACACCCTACCAGCTGGGATGCAGGTGTTTCAGAAGAACAACTACTGAGACTTACGATACCATATATATTTTATTTTATATTCTATTATAATATACCATCATATATTACATATCATATACAATGTGTATTTGGCTATAAAGTCTCAATTCCAATTTTGAATCTTCTCATTAGACAGCTAATGGTTTCCAAAGCAAGTGGAACAGGTCTGGTTGTCATGGCTGCTGCTTGGTGTGAGGTGATAAGGTAGAATGGAAAGGAGAGTAATGTCTAGGTCTCTGAGTTTGGTTGCTTCATTGGGTGACAATCATTTCTTAGGCTGAGGAAGACAATTAAGTCTAGATCTGCATCTGTGAGAAAGCAATGCAGGTTCAACTTGGAGTTATGTAATCCTAGCCTTCACATTGTGGCTGAATTAAGACTCAAGTGTGAGATGCCCCTTAACTGAACTGAGAGGTAGTGGTTACATCATCACTACTCTTAACTTTCTAGGATAAAACAGGACCATTTGCAAGAGACAGGCATTAGGGTAAAATTTTACCAATGTTTTCTT